CACGCATGCCAGGCGAGCCTACCGCTTGAGCCACATCCCCAGCCTGGGTAAAAATTTTTCTAATTATTATAATAAATAATCACAACAAACATTTAAGAGAAAGAAGTGCCTCTATATCACCAAAATTACTTCAAATCTTTTCATATTCCTCTTTAAGAGGAAAGAATTCATTGAATGTTGCAAGTAAATGTAATACAGGATCTCTTTCTCAGAACCACACTTTAAAATAACAAGATAATAGAAATTAAAATATTCGAGTCAAACATCATTATTTAAACAGCCCACATTATTTGCTTCCAACTTACCACCCAGAGGTTCTATGAAATCAAACACTCCTAAAACAATATCCCTTTTACACATTAAAGAAACAGACTGAAATAATAATAATAATAATAAAAGAATTTTTAAAATGTAAAATCATAAAACACTTACCACAGTAAAAATATTTAATTATTTTCCTGTCTTACATTCTTTCATAGCACCTTTATTATGATCCTGAAAAAAAAGTTTGGAGAAGTTAAATAGATTTTAAATGTATACATTTAATCTGATGTTTATTTCCTTTAGATTTCTGTTTTTCTGGAACTAGACAAAACAATTCAAAAGTACTCATGGGAAAATAAGCAAGCAAGAATTTCCAGGAATATGAAAAGCAACAAGGGGAACCTAGTTTTAAAAGATATTAAAACTTATAAAACCAATAATGTGATACTGGTATATGAAGAAAAAGACTAATAGAATAGGTCGTTATTTAAGAAAGAAAGGTGAAGGGGGGGCCAAAGCAGTTGGAAATCACATTTTCTTATGGTTCAAAAGTTAAAATGACACAGGCATTGTCATTTTAACTGTGTCATTTTTACTTTTGAACCATAAGAACATGCTATCTACATTAAAAGAATTTTTAAACATTAAAAAGAATACTTACAGAAAGAAGAGAAAGAGACACCCATAGATAAATTAAGGTTTAAAGAGATTTTTTGCTCTGAATTAGATGCTGAAAAGCAATCTTGGTGTGGTCATTGCAAAAAAAAAAAAAATGCTTTTTTCCCCTTCAATCAAGTTAAAGAATATAATAGTCTGTTTTTAAAAAGCTATTAGAATGAGTAAGAAATTTGGAAAGGGGAGAAAAATGTACAATGAGGACACTCTAGTATAATGATTCTCCAAGTGTGGTCCCTATACCAGCAGCATCAACTTATTAAAATTAAAATTCTCAGGCTCCCACCCAGACTACTGAATCAGAAACTTTGTACTAGTCTAGCAATCCTAGTAATACTCTCAAGTCTGAGAGTCACATATCTTGTCTGGTTCTTCCCACAGGTTCATGTACACCACGAGTCTGCATTTCAAACAAGATCCAGGACATAGAACCACACTTGGATAAGCAAAGCTGAAGTCCTCCTGGGGGAAAAAGGTATGTAACCTTCGTATGGTTGAGTTTCCCATGAAACCTGTCCTCAATATCAGATGGAAAAAGTCCTTATACAGGCTTCCTAGCCAAGAGATATCATGGAGCTAGTTTTTTTACATAAACTGTGTACACAGAGAATGTTTTCAAATACATTCTTATAAAAACAATAACAACTATGAATCATTGAAATTCAACTTAAGGATGTCTCACTTGAAAAAAAAATTATAAGTAGATCTACAAACTTTCAGAGATAGGGCAAAGAAACAAAAATAATCCATATTCCATAAATGCTGCTTGTGTTTTTGAACAACTTAATCTCAAATGCATTAACTGCCCACCATGTGCTTTCATGGAAAAGCACCAAGAAGTTTGTTTCCCTCAAACCCTTTTCAAAAAAAAATTGTCCTCATGTTGATGAACACTGGTCTTCCATTTGTTTTACACAAGGAGAAAGATCTGTATAGGAATCTTCTGAATAAAAAATTCTAGTTTAACAGAGCGCAGCGCACATGCCCAGAAGGCGGGCAAATTTGGAGCAGTGGCGCCGGC